TGTCCACGGCCGTGCCCCGTACACCACTGACTGATGGGACATGTATGTCCACGGCCTACAGCCCCATACACCACTAAGTGAGTGCTTCGTACATCTCCATGGTTCCAACTTTGACATCTCACCTGTCTCCCTTGCTGCAGGTTTCTCCCATTCGGCCTTCACGTTCGGGATCGAGAGCCACATCAGCCAGTCCAACATCAACGGGACGTTGGTGCCGCCAGCCGCGCTCATCTCTATCCTCCAAAAAGGGCTGCAGTATGTGGAGGCCGAGATCAGCATCAACGAGGTATGTCCCAACACCCCCACCGCCACTCGGGGGGCCAACGCTGCCTCACAAGCTTCCGTGGTGGAGACCCTGTGCAGCAGAACAAAAGGCGGCCCTGTCCAGCACCATCTCATGGTCATTGTCATGTTTTAACCCATCATTGCTGCCACTGTGTCCATCCACGTCCTTGCAGGTCCTGGGGCTTCCTCTGACCCTCCATGTTACCAGACATGACGTCCATCTGCAATACTCGATCCGTCCTGATGACACATTCAGAATAAGTGGATTCTACCATAGCTGTCATGAACAATTGTAGAGCAGTGTAACCGAACCTTCTAGAACCAACACTAGGTTAATTTTAGGTTCCAATTGTTGACTTGTCAGCTCCAGCTCACGGCCACCTCATGTGTGACCCAGCACTGCCCAGTCCAGACTGTGACGACAGCTCTGAATCCAGCCCGAATTTTCCCAAGGGGACTTGGTTTGTTTTTTTATCTTAATGTTGTGTTGAGACTGTATTTAATCTGAGCCTTTCCTTATCTCTCCTATGAACACTCAGATCAGGCACAGGATGGGACAGAGGTAAATGCAACCTTCTCCCACCTGAAAAGTACACAGCTTTGATATTTCAGAGTGTGTCTGGCCTTCTCTATCAGTGTGAGAAGAGGAGCCCATAGCCTCTATGATTCCGCCGACGTTCACACCCCAAAATGCCAAGACTCGATTTCCCCTCCCTATGGGGTCCTCTGTTGTCTGTCAGAAACCCTCAACTCAAACCCCACCATGGGTACACATCCAGTGTCTTAGCTGTCTTGTAGTGCTATAACACAAGGAGTGCTGGTGGAAGGCTTTAACAAACAGAAATTAATTCCCTCACAGTTGGGAGGCTACAAGTCCAAACTCTGAGCACCGGCTCTCGGGGAAGGTCTGCATCTCCTTCAAACATCTATGAGCCTGGTGTTCCTTGGAGACCTCCGTGTGTCTTGGCATCAACCTTCCTTTGGGTCTAGGAGCTTCTAGGCACAGGGACCCTGGATCCAAAGGATGAGCTCTGCTCACAGCTCCTCTTTCTTGGAGTCTGATCAGGGCTGTGACGTGAGTAAGGGTGTGTCACTGCCTTGCCCCCAACCCCCTCACTACTGATCGGTCACTTCAGATCAAATCACAGAACATGATTACATAATTGGATTACTGCCACATTACATCACTGCATAACAGCCAAACCGCTAAACCTCATGGCCCAGCCAAGCTGACACATATTTTGATGGGAGACTCCATTCAATCTGTGACACCGAGGGAGGAACAGCTCAATTGTCATTAACTTTCCATTCGCTGGAGAGTGACATAGAGATCTGCCAGGGTCAAAGACCTGGGATGTGTTTGTTAGTTTGGGCAGCCATGCGTTTTCCTAAAGCGGTGTGACTGTACAAAGAAGAGGAATTGTAGTGGCCTGTTGACCCCACTAGTTAACACTGTTCATGTCGTGATTGGATAGAGGTGGACATGTGCTTTACTCATCATGTGTTAGTTCTGACCCGTTTCCTCCCATACGGAACTGGAACCAGAAATCCACCTGGGCAGTGTTTCACTTAGACCCGGTCCAGCTGAGACACCCATTCTCATGCTTTCAAACTTGGGAGGCAATTCTAATTCAGAACACATGAAAATGTGCAGGCACAGCTACTGGCAACAGCCTTAAGGGGCCGGGTTTCCCCATTGTTGGCATACTTGATCCAGAGAGAACTTTTTCATGTGTTTACAAGTGGGTGTGGAAAGAAACTGTCTAAAATTGTAGACGGAAACCAGAGAGTCAAAGGAAGTGCACAAAACAGGAAGGCCACCTCAGTGAGATTCTGGTCTGCTGTACGTGGCTGTGTTTAGTGTCCACTCTATACCCACGACATTGTTTCAGATCACAACAGATGTCCTAAGAGCACTGTCCAGAAAGGTGTGAACACATCTCTGATTTGTTCTCCAAGAGTTGCCTCCGCCACCCAAAGTTCCGATGCATAGCGTTCTACGGGGGCAGAGGGGAACGTCCCCGTGGGGTTTCCTAGGCTGTACACTGTTATGAAAGCAGACTGCCTCATCTTTCTCCCAAGGATCATGTTGGGTTCTAAACACCACCAGCCAAGTGGTTCGCAGCTGAGCACCTTAACCCCTGTGCCATCAAGACCCCTGCTGCACTGGTTAGGATTTATACAATGTATCTACTGTGGACACAGTTCAGCCCATAGCACTGAACCCCACCCCATAGAAAGTAACCAATGGCAACAAATGATGCCAAACCATTCTTCCCACATCCGTCTCTACTCATGATCCCTTGCAGTGGCCACACAGAACTCGGACCCCTCACAGTTACAGGGTTTATTAGGGAAGTTAATAGGTTATATAACACAGGATCAGAAATGCTCAGGGCTCAGTAGTTCCAGCTGGCTGCTGATAAATGCCCACAGGACACAGCACTCCACCGTAAGCCGCAGCCTGAAGGCACTCGGCTCCAGCTCCGAGGGTCAGCAAACCCAGCTCCCCCACTTAAGTGACTGGAGGCACCCCACTCTATGAGAAAACTTCCTGCCCAGAGCCACTCAGCGTTCCTTGCTCCGTGGGCCAGGAAGCCCGCTTTCTGTCCTGTGTTCTGATTCTTGGTTTGACCACTCCGCTGCTGTCTTTGGGTTGCGGAGGGATTATGCAGGGATCTCTGGTTCTTCTTGATGGGTAGTGAGCTCACCCCTTCCTGCTTCTGAGACAACTCATTTTATACCCGTGCTAGAGTTTCATGCTTTTACAGTTACAAGTGAGCTCTGTTAACAGACACACCTGAATATTGTCATCCTCAGTATCTTCTCCCACCTTCTCTTACCCAGAGAGCCATCAAGAAAAGTCATTTGGGGTTAATTACAAAGACTAAGACTAAGAGAGATGGATTGAATAATTCAGCACACCCCACTTTCCCACTTCACCCACCCACAGCCCGTCCTGCTCACATCCCCTTTGGAGACCCCTTGAGTCCTTCCTTGCCCACATCCCAGCACAATGTGCCATGCCAGTACCTGTGCCTCTCCAGTGGGGGCAGCTGGCTGGGACCCTGCTTCATGGTGGGCCTTCCTCCCAGGACGGCACGGTGTTCGACGGCCGGCCCATCGAATCGCTGTCGCTGATTGACGCTGTGATGCCCGACGTGGTGCAGACGCGGCAGCAGGCCTTCCGAGAGAAGTTGGCTCAACAGCAGGCTAGTGCGGCGGCGGCGGCCGCAGCAGCAGCAGCAGCGGCAGCAGCAGCAACGACTGCCCCAGCAGCTGTGTCCCAGCAAAGCACACCAAAGAACGGAGAGGCCACGGTGAACGGGGAAGAAAACGGGGCACATGCAATAAGTAAGTCTCCACTCGGTTACACCCAGCCGCTGCATGGATTTAGGGTTTGGGTTTGGGGTTTTATCCACGGTGTGCAAGTCTGAGAGTTTCCTGAAATACCTGCCTGCTTTAACTTTCTTCCTTTCCTCTGTTTGCCTGCCCTCTAAGCAGAGGAGTATCCCATTCTGGTTTTTTATGAAAACCTTTAGACAAGATATTCATTTACGCAGCCTCAATTTGAGGGAATCCTGCTAATCTGAGAACTGTAGAATGTTGTTTTGGGGATACCTTGGAGTCAAATCTGACCCATTGTGTCCCAATGTGACACAGCCAAACTGCCCCTTTGGGTTTCCAAGGCTCCAGTCAAATCTGACCCACAGCACCCCCATGTAACAGAGCTGAAACGCCCCATAGGGTTTCTTTATGGAAGCTTTATCTCTCTCCCAAGGAGCAGCTAGTGGGTTCAGACCATCAAATTTCTGAATAGCAGCCATGCTTGTCCTAGCAGTTTTACCAGCAGGACTACAACACAAACATCATCCTGAAATCCTTACGGTAGGGAAGTCTTAACTCACTCGGCTGCTAACTGAAGGGTTGATGGTTCGAGCCCACCCAGAGATTCCTCGGAAGAAAAGCCTAGTAACCTACAAGACTTTTCAAAACTTCATAGAAATGATGGAATGAAAAAATAATGTAAATTTTTCACAAAGTTTTTGAAACTCCCTCATACTGAAAAACATCAGCCGGTGACCCTGACACCTCTGGGTAAACTAGACCCACCAGTCTCTCAGTTAGGGCTGAACAGGTTCTCTGTGTACACCGCCCACAGACCTCTGCCCAATCCAGTGCACTGATGAAGCCACGAAGGCACTACCCGTGTCTCCTAAAACAAAGTGCTGAGACCTAGTTTCTTGTTAATTTGTAAGCCTGAAGTCTTTTCCTTCCTTCTGCTACAGATAATCATTCTAAACCAATGGAAATCGACGGGGAAGTCGAGATCCCACCCAACAAGGCCACCGTGCTTCGGGGCCACGAGTCCGAAGTGTTCATCTGTGCCTGGAACCCTGTCAGTGACCTCCTTGCATCTGGGTAAGGATTTCAGGTTAGGTGTGCTCCAGGTGTCAGACCCAGAAGATTCGCTCCTCTGTGAAGTTCTGTCTCATGGTCCGTGCTCTTGGATTGTTGTGTCTGTCACTTCTTCACAGTGTGTACAAACGAGGCCGGGAAAACTGCACCTCTTCCTGTGTCTCATATTAGGACGGCAAAACACCCACTGCCGATTCCAATGGAGAGACCCTTATCCCATGCCGTGTTTTTCAGTGGGGCAGGGAGACAGTTCACATTAACAATGGTGTCTTAGTAGACTCTAACCTAGGAACCATTGTGATGATGGTACAGGACAAGCAGTGGCCTACTAGCCAACTGACTCCATGACACCTCACAGCTTTATTTTGTAAATGCTACTACTATGACAAATAACACAAGAGGATAGCTTTAATGAACAGAAATTTCTTTTCTGGAAGTTCTGGAGGCTGGAGGTCAACATTGAGGGCACCTGCTGTAGTGAAGACCCTGTTCTGTTGGCTCTTGGGGAAGGTCCTTCTGTGTTTTTCAGTCATCTCCATATGGCATGGTGTCTGTCTTGCCTCTTCTGTGGTTCCTTGTTGTATGGTTAATTAGCATAACAAAGGGCACTTTCCCCAAAAGCAATTCAACAAATGGATTAAGATTTACAGCTTAGATTAGGGGATAGAGTGTAGAAGGAGACACAATCAATCCCTAACAAAAGACAGTTGTGAGGAGCTAGGAGGTAAACCAGGGAAGGGATTGAAGAGGCAGGAGATTGCAGAGTACCTGGTATACCTGAGCTGTTCCTTGTCCACCTCAGCCAACACCCAGTGTCCTCCCACCTCAGCCAGCATTGAGTGCCCATGTGTTTTCCTTGTCCAGGTCTGGAGACTCTACCGCAAGGATATGGAACCTCAACGAGAACAGCAATGGGGGTTCCACCCAGCTCGTGTTGAGACACTGTATACGGGAAGGGGGCCATGACGTTCCCAGTAACAAGGACGTGACCTCGCTGGACTGGAATGTAAGCTCCTCCCATGACCTGTTTGGCAGGTCCTCTCTGCCCACCACCATGGGAGAACTCCCTGCTGGTGAGACCTGTCTGCACATGGTTCTCATTGTGTTTCCCAGGGTTCTGATGAGGCTGGCTTCCACAGCTATCCCTGGTTCATATTTCATTCAGTCTTTGTTGTAGAAGAGCTCATGTGAAATACTGTTCACCAGAACGTGAAGTAGGGAATTCCCTCACATTCTGCCATTTCTTGGTAGCCACCAGTCTTCTTTCTTGTGGTCTCTACGTGCTGCCTCTAGATATTTTCTGTAAGTGGTTATTATTCACAATGTGAGTTCTTTTGTGTCTGTGTCATTTTACACCGCATCGTGTCTTCAGGCTCCGCCCATGTTGTAGAACCGATCAGAACTTAGTTTCTCGTTATGTCTGAGTAGTGCTCCGTCAAGGATCCCTGGTAGCACAGTGGTTAAGTGTCTGCTTGGTGGTTTGAACCCAGTAGCTGCTGCACATGGGAAAAGGCCTGGTGATGTACCCCTGTACCGATGCTTGCCTAAGGAACGCTGTGGGGCAGTTCTCCTCTGTCCTATAGAGTTGCTGTGAGTTGGAACGGACTCACTGGCACACAGCAACAACAACGCTCAGTGGATAGACACTGTTTCTCCACGCCTCTGTTGATGGACACCTGGTCTGTTTCTACCTTTTGGCTATTGTGAATAGTGCTACAGTGAACATTGGTGTATAAAGGTCTATTTTGGTCCCTGGTTTCTAGTCTTTGGAGTGCACACCTAGGATAATGGTAACTCTAGTTTAGCTTTCTGAGAAACCATCAAACCATTCCCACAATACCCATCCCGTTAGCAGTGGGGGTTTGTAAGATGAGTCTGATGTTTCTCTTAAAGATGCTTCATTTTAGGGAGCCAGGCCTAGGGGAACCCCAAGACCATTCTGGGGAGGTTTTATGTGCATCCAGGGAGGTGTACAGCATTCCCCTTGATAATTCATTAGTTAATGTCTGTGTGTTCCTACATGGGACTCGGGCCATTTCCTACCTTCGTGGTACTTAATGCTGTCTGCAGACTCTGCCCTGTTATCACAGATTCTAAACCTCAACAGAGCCTTTCACAAAACTCTTGTATTAACCTTCTGTATGGGTTTCTAATGACGATATGAAATGTCGACAAGTCGACAAGGTATGCGTAGTTGCATGGTGCTCATTTCTCTCGGTGGTCTCCACGGTGAGCCTTACCTCCTCAAGGAGGAAGCTGGTGTCGCCGGAGTCCTGACACGAGACAGAGTGACCTCTGCACGCTGTACCATGCATGATTTATGACAAGTCCATCCCTGGGGGGACACGACAGGCCCTCTGCTCTACCTGTGCCCCCCGGGACTGAGCCATTCTGCCTGGTTTCTGTTTCCTTCTGGCCCCCAGAGCGACGGAACACTCCTGGCTACGGGTTCCTACGATGGCTTTGCCAGGATATGGACGGAAGACGGTGAGTCCCTCGTGTTTGCGGAGGATAAGAGGCATTTTGGGATGTTTCTGTGGAGTGAACCGACCATGACCTTGAAGTCAGCGTGTTTGTTTTTTTCACATAACAGGCAACCTAGCCAGCACCTTAGGCCAACACAAAGGCCCCATCTTCGCCTTGAAATGGAACAAAAAGGGAAATTACATTCTGAGTGCTGGCGTAGACAAAGTGAGTATCCCTTGAAATCCCCGTCTGATCTGTAAAAACGTCTTTATTTCCCATCTTTAGATCACATCATAGTATCTTTGATTTCAGAGGCTTTCTGTTTCCCCTTAAGCAGTTGGGCGAAGCGGTTTAGGTTGTATTTGGTTTGGCTGTTTTGAGTCTTACTATCAGAATTTTTGCTTTGTTTTGTTTTGTTTTCAATGAAAAAAAAGTCTTTTTAAAATTTTTTATTCTGGTAAAAATTGATACAACATTTACCAGTTCAGCCGTTTTTCGATACTTGGTTTGTGGCGTTGTGTCCATCTTGGTTTGTGACTGCCATCGCTGCCCCCGTTTCACACCAGCCCACTACTGTTAGCTGGCTCGTACCCTCCCACCCACCTCTGCCTCCTTGTTGTTGTTGTTAAGGGCAATCACAATTAATAGGCTTTGGGCTCCTTCTGCTAATTTACATTTCATCATAGGAGTCCTGGCAGGGCCCAGTTGCTTAAGCCAAATGGTTGGCAGTTCAGACTAGTGATCTGCCTCCCAGAGGTGCCTGGTGATCTGCCTCCTAAAGATGTCCACCTCGCACACCACGGCTGAGTACTAGTACTGTTAGGTTTGACTCTAAAAGGCTGTGCGTTTTCCGGGTTTCAGAATCTTTCAAAGACCTTACTAGGTCATTGTTTTCTTTTCCTTCAACTTCTGCACATGAACCATGGACTCATGGGCGTGACCTCAACACATGGCCACACTCTTGGGGAAGCCAGAAAAGGCATTCATAGCACATTCCAACATGCTAGTGGTGATAAGGTGGCTTTTCCTTCTCTTGTGTGTGGAGTTTCTATGAAGTGAAACCCACTCAAAAAAGACAACTCATAACATATGACCTATATTGGTGTGAGACACTAGGGCCAGGGTTGGCAAACTACAGCTCGGGCCAAATCCAGTCCCCTTCCCAGTTTTGTAAATAAAGTTTTATTGGCACATAGCCACACCCCTTTGTCTGTGGCTCCTTTCCCACTACAGCAGTAGATTTGAGTAGTTCGCTCAGAGACAGTCCAGCCCACGAAATTAATAAAGGCTATCCCCTGTCCATTGACAGGAAGTGCTGGCTGACCCCTGTAGTAGAGGACAACCATCTAAGTCAACAGGCCCTCCATTGTCTGTCTCTCTTTGAAGCCAGAAAAGAGCTCACTATTCAAACTTGGCAGCCTGGTGTATAGCACAAATTGAAGCTAAGCTGCTCAGGTTAGCACCTCAGTGGGTCTCCTGTCCCCGAGCCATACTTTACCTGCGATGCTCTCATTCCAGTTGTCCACACAGCACTTTGTCTGCCCATGGTGGCCCATCAGCACCTCCTGACTTGTGGAATTGATAGTTGGCGTTTACTGACAGCTTTTACTACTGCACATGCCAGCCTGCTCAGGGCACCGAGGCTCCAAGGTAGCACAAGCAAGCGCTCCATTTTCTAGGAGGGAATGGAGGCCCAGAGAAGTTTGTCATTTTCACTAGGGACACACAGCTATTACAGAACGGAGGAAAGCATACAGCCTAGATTCTTGATCACTAGGGGGTGTACTCTTTTTTGTGTTTGTTCTTTAACTGTTTCTTACAGTTTCGGTGAAGGTTTACAGAGCAAGCCATCCACTTTTACATTCAAATCTCACCCACCTCATTTCACCTCACTGACTGCCATCCCCTCCGTGTAACCTCACTTCCTCCTGTGTTTCTGGCTTCTGTTTGTCCTTCTCTGCTAACCTTCTTGCTTTGTACTTGGGTGAATGCTGCCCTTTTGATCCGAGTGGTTGACGCTTCTGTGGTGTGTGTACCTCGTTCATGTGGGGACCCTCCCTACTAGATCTACTTATGGTCTAGGTGACCATCGAGCACAAGGGTGATTTCAGTTCCAGATCTCAAGGGTGACCAAGGACCATAGTCTTACAGTTCTACCAGAGTCTGTCCAACCAGTTAGCCTTGTCATTTTTATGATTTTGAACTTTGGTCTAAATTCTATCCCATTCTGATATGATCCTTTTCAGAGCTGTCAGTGGTGGTAGTCAGGCACCATCTAGTTCTTCTGGTCCCAGGGTCATGGAGACTGACATGGACACTGTCCATGAGTCCATTGGGCTGAGTGTATCCGTGTGTCTTTGGTTCTTCACTCTTCTTTCCTCCAGATGGGCAGATCCCAAAGACCCTTGTTGCCTCTCACCAAAGTAGGATGTAGAACATTGTCCCTGTGGGTTATTCTATGCCCTTTGGCCATGGTGTCCCCTGAGAACTATGGTCCTGAGTCCCCAAACCCCAGGGTGTATTTTTAACTGCAATTCTGGCTAAACAGTCCTTGGTGTATCACGCCCTTCCTACCTGGAGGGTCTTGTTTTCATTTTCCTACCTGGTGACCCATTTCCACTCGACCAAGTGCTGCGCTCTGATCAGTAAAAGTACACACATGGAATCCTGTGGGTCTCACGGGTCACACACTCTCTGCCCATAGTCCTCTGCCCACCAAGGCAGGAAGTATAGCTGTGCTCGCCACAATGCCATTTGACCAAGTCTGTGTTGACCTTCAGCATTTGACCTGGAAGAGCTAGACTGCTTCAGAGTCTTAAAAACTTAAAGATGTAAAAAAATGTTTGTTTGGTCCAATGGTGTTTGAACGTAGTGTAACATAACTGGAACGTAAACATGCACAGGATGACCCGTTATTGATGTGGTGTCTGAGAGTATATCAGAGAGTTATGAAAGCGCTTACATCATCAGTACTGGTTTCTTTGCGGATGGCTTAAAGTAAGGAGCTCTGGTAGTGCAACAATTAAGCACTAGGCTGCTGATGTCAAGTTTGATGGTGTGAATCCACCCAGAAGCTCCCAGAAAGATGACAGCCTAGATAACCCTCTGGGGCAGTCTGTTTGGTCACACGGGGCCACTGTGAGTCTCTAAGTCAGAACAGGCATGATGACACCTCAAAAGGAGCACATATAAAACTTACCCACCTCCCTGCCACCGAGCTTTGTTTTATGTTCATTGTTCCAGCTCTCTGAAAACCAGTTTCAAAGATGCTTCTGTGAGTTTCTCCTCTGAGAATGTCAGCAGCTAGTAGAGACTGTACTCAATTCTCGTGAAAGCAGACTCTTTATTGTCATGACATGGAGAAGAGGGTCCGATTAAAGCAACCACACCACTTGGCTCGGAGCTAACTCCAGGGGTCACATAATTGAACTGGCACTGGGCTTCTTACCAAGTCTTCGTAACCCAAGTAGAGTGATTAGAAATTATGACTCACTGCCTTCCCAGGGTAGGCATCACCTATCCCTGTTACCAACCAGTACACAGGGACCTCTCCCACCAAGGCCCCACTGCCATCTGCTCTGAGAAGATACCAGCGCCTCCAATTCCTAGGGTGCCACTCAACATGCAGAAAGACTCTGTAGTTGACCTTTGTTGGCAGACTTTTTCAACCATCTTCATCGCTATGGGTGGAGGAGAAGTCCCAGCCACCTTGGGTACTTTTCCAGAGATTCAATAGTAAGTATAACCCATACTGGATTCCAAAGACGTAGGGTGACAAGAAGAGCCTCTGGATGTCACAGACAGTAAGCACATGGCCCCTAAGCAAAACATTGGCAGTTCAAACCCACCCAGAAGGGGGAGACCATGAAATAAAGGCCAAGCAGTGTGCTGCTGAAAATGCAGAGCCCTGGAAAGCCATGGAGCACGGTTATGTTCTGCACACGTGGGGTCGTCACCAGCTGGACTCTGCTCAACAGCTACAAGGTTTTTTGGTGTTGGGTGAAAACCGGGATGTCAAATTGTCTCATTAGTATTGTCCTATCAATTGCAGGTTGAAATGGAATGATGTCAGATAGACTCTGAAAATCAGGTGGACAATTGCCTGTTGTATGTTTTCCTCTTTGAATGTTAGTTGATGTTGTTGTTGTTGTTAAGTACTGTTGAATTGCTTTCTAAGGAGCGGCTGGTGGCTTTAAACTGCCGACCTCATGGTTCACAGTCCAATGCTGACCATACAGCGCCACACTAGGGTGACATTGAAAGTGGCCTGCGTAGCTTCCGGCTCCAGTTATACCTCTGTTGGATGGCACTGGTTGAGCAAGAAGAGAAACACATTGTCTTGTCTTGTACATTATTAGTTTTTGATTTTTTTTTTTTTTTTTAAAGAGAAAACTTTGCAAGAGCAGCATTTACTAATTTTATCTTTTGTTTCCGGAGCACAGACAACAATAATTTGGGATGCCCACACGGGAGAGGCCAAACAGCAGTTTCCCTTTCACTCAGGTGAGTGGTCTTTGTTTTTGTGGTTCAAGTCCTGACACATCTGGGAATGATTGGGGAAGGAAAGAGGCAGTGGAGCCCAGCTGGGAAGAAGGAAGCCACGTCATGGAACGTGCCAGTTACAGATGCCCTCACCACACCCACCTGCTCAAGGCTTACAAAGAACAACAGAGCAGCCGGCACAGAGCTGGTGTGGATGGGCTCTTTCTCCAGTGACCCAAGAGGGATCCTCTATCAGGGTCCCCAGGACCCTCCCCAGGTATGGGGCTTCCCTGGAAGGTTTGCCATGACTCTACACACAGTCAAGCTCCGGACTGACAGCACACACATCGGCAGAGGGGAGAAGACACATGCAGGCCACCTGATTCCTCAGCAGTGATTTGTGACACCACATACCAAGTATCCTCCACCAAGGACGCTCCTTAGAGACTTGGTGCCCGCAGTTTTCTTGGGGACTGTCCAGATGAGTACCATCTGCCTGGCATGTACCAAGATTCCAGACCTCCAGCAGGAAAGCAAGTCTTCTGCATAAACAGTGTTGTGTGCACAAACGATCTGCTCAGTTAGGGACTGTGGGAACCCTTCGGCAATCCTGGCCCCCAGGTACCACCGTAGGGCCAGCCTTGCAGGGTAACAGTCAGGGCTGTTGTGTGCCTCTGGTGCACAGATGTGTCTCTGCCGTGGCCCTGGACCTAACCATATTCCTCTATGGTTTTGGGCCACACCTGGCCACCTGGAGCCAGCTACTGCCTAGACATTCAGGAATTGCAGACCCTCACCGTCTTCATGTCTTCTCCCAGCTCCCTTCTCTGTGACTTTTGTCAGATGTGACCTCTTTGCTACAAGTAAAGACAACTCCCCTCTCCCCAGAACCCAAAGTGACTATATGTGTTTCCTGTTATAACAGCCCCTCAATCTGAGAGCTTGTCAGAACAGCACTGTTCTGTCTCACGGTTCTGGGAATCCAAGGTACGGTGTGGACAGTGTGGATCCCTGTGATGTGAGTGCTCTGAGGGAGAAGCAAGTGGTCTTCAGGAGGACAGGAGAGTGGGGTGGTCTCTGAAGGCTGGTACAAGTGTCTTCTCCTCGGCATCTCTCCTGGAGACATCCATGGACCCCACTCAGACCTAAATCCCATCCTGACTGGGCACTCGTCCCCAGACACAGCCTCTCCCACGCTGGTCACCCCTCGTCCCTCCTACAGAGGAGCTAAGCTTCCTGCACTTTCACAGCTATTTTTGAATCTTTGTTGTTCAATGCCATCTAGTGGATTCTAACTCATAGTGACCCTGGATAACCCTTGTGGTTATCAGTCCTTACTGCTTTCTTTTTATTCAAAATCTATATGTGAATGTGATTTCATAGACTTGACCTCAAAACATGGCCCCACTCTTGGGGAAGTCAGAATATGCATTCACCATGGATCCAAGCATGCCAGTGGCCATGAAAATGACTCCTGGCCAGGAAACTCTTCATTTGTTTGTACTTGGGCGTGTATGTGACGTGGAAGGGTAGCTGCCAACCAGGAAAAGGAGGTGTAATAGCAGGGAGGCTAAAACAGTAAGAATCCAAAAAGTCTCAACTACTTGTCCCTCCCCATTGTTGATACACAAAGAAACTGAGACCCTCCCCAGATACAGCCTCTTTGTGGCCCAGGGTTAATAAGGACCTTTCTCCCTTAAGTGACCCTGCATAGGCCAGGGTACATGCACTCATGCGTGGGGCTAACGTGGGTTTCTGAAGGCCATAGTGTACAGTGTGTCTGTGGAAACAGGTTTGTTTGCAGATGGGCCTGTCCATATTCAAGCATTATTTCAGGGCCATAGAAACCCAGGAAGAACAAATTAAAACAATCAGAACAAAGCACCCTTTTCCCGGATGGCAGTTACCCTACCACCTCACTGTCACGCTCCAGGCCATGAAAAGCAGCCTCTTAGAGTAGAATGTGTGGATATTTGCTTATAGTCTAGAAAACTTCCCAAAATGTGGGCAGAACTGCACATAGGTTGATCAACGAAGCTGAGCTCATCTTAAGTCCTTTAAAAAAACACAAAAAAACCTTTTTTCTTTCTTTTCTAAAAACACACTAAAAAACTGTACAGTAGATTGTGTGAGAGAGAATTAACAGTAAGTTCTCTTGAGTAAGAGGACCTCCGGAACCTGTCCTGTGTTCACGGAGCCGTAGCTATGAAGTGAGATGTTTAAGAGCCGTGAAGAGTACAGGTGATGGAATGCATCGTCTGTCACAGACATCCTTGGAATAGGCGGGTATTGAACCTGGGCTGTGAAGTCATTTTCATCTCTTTCTTTCTCCTCTTTGTCTAAAACAAATGAAACTCACGCTCCCTAGTGATATTCTTGGAAGCAGAAACTGGCAGCCTTGTGATTCCTGCTTCCTCCTTCTTCCCCATGAGCAGGAGAACACAAAACACTTCCCACCAGAGGGCACAAGAGCAGTCTCGAGCTCTCTTTGGATGTAGGCAGAGAGGGGTCTTCAAGGACTTTGAAGGAAAGGGGCTGTGTGTGAGCTGGGAATGTCTGTTAGCACACCGGTCAGCAAGTCTTCTGGAGCGTTCTGATGAAGCTGCTTATATCAATGTGCAGCTGACAGATTTCAGTGTCCTCCCTGTGTTCTCTGCCCCACAGCCCCCGCTCTGGATGTAGACTGGCAAAACAACACGACCTTCGCCTCATGTAGTACAGACATGTGTATCCACGTGTGCAGGCTGGGCTGCGACCGTCCCGTCAAAACTTTCCAAGGGCACACGGTAAGTGTGGAGTCTGGGGACTGGGTTTGAGTTCATGAGAGTCAGCTGGAGGTGGGAGCTGGCCCAAAAGGTCAACAGTGACTCAAAAGCAGAGATGACAGGTTTCAAGGGCACACGGTAAGTGTGGAGTCTGGGGACTGGGTTTGAGTTTATGACAGGGAAACTAGAGTACTGGGAACAGAACAACCTGAACACATCTCAAGAGAATGTTGACACATTGTGAACAATGTAACTAATGTCACTGAACTATTGGTGTAGGAACTGTCAAAATGTGAATCTGTTGAGTAAACTTTCACCAAAAAAAAGCTTTACTTAAATTTTTTTAAAAACGCACGGTGGCTGCAGACCAGTTGTTCTACAGCCTTGCACTGGACTGGGTTACCACAACTGGTTGTATTAATGCAGCTCTGGATAGATGATGGGAATAAGAAATTCCAGCTGAGAAACTAGGAGGGTTATGCTGCCAAACAAAATAATTGTTGAAAAGATAGAGGAATTTTTCCACGAACCCTTTAAAGCCTCTTCATGTGTACATGTGTATGTAAATGTTAGAATTCTGTCTGTGTTGTGAAGTGCTGGCTAGTTGTCTCTAACTCATATGACCCTGTGTGTGCACCAGCAGAAGGAAACACCGGTCTTGCACCGGCATCCTCACAATATTGTCTTTGAGTCTGTTGTTGAAGGCACTGTGTGGGTCCATCTCCTTGGGGGTTCTCTATTTTTTGTTGACCCTCTGCTCTACCAAGCATGACATCCTCCTCCAGGGACTGGTCCCTCCTGACAACATGTCCAAAGTATGTGAGATGAAGCCTCAGCATCCTCACTTCTGAGAAGCATTCTGGCTGTACTTCTTCCAACACAAATGTTGTGTTTGTGATTCCTGCAGTCCATGGTACTCTGTGTATTTTTCACCAACACCATAACACCAGAGGCATCAGTCCTTCTTTATGCTTGCTTATTTATTGCCCAGCTTTCCTAGGCATATGAGGTTGATTGAAAATACCATGGCTTGAGTCAGACTGGAGATTGTAAAAGTGAACCCGGATATAGATTAGAGACACTGTAATGGCCTGTGGAATTACATAAAGTGACCAACTGTGGAGTGTCGTCGGGAGAAGAAAAGAAAGCAGATGGAACAGAGCAGTGAAGTGAGGCAGTAGTGGTATTTTTTTCCCACTTTGGTGGTAAACATTAGCTTTCTATCTAATAAGCTCAGACCACAAGTACAATAAACAAGGAGAACCATGCCCGTAGGCACATGGTCAGGAGACACTGAAAATCAGTGATGCAGAGACATCTTCTCCACAGGAGAAGCTGCCATAGCTACTCTATGAGCAGCAGCTTGCATCTCCCCAGCCATCTCCCCCGTGCCTCCTCGGTCTTGTTGCCGGACCTTCTGCCTCTCTCACTCCTGCCTGGGAAGCTCTCACAGCCCTCAGAGTCCCACACAAAACCCTTCCTGTCTCTCAAGACCCCCGTTCACACTCCCTCTTCCCTGTGGCTCCCTCTGGAATCCTCACGGCCCCTGCGTGCGCTCAGTGTGGACGGGGCAGTGAGTGGCAGGCTGTTGATGTGTCCATCTGCCTCCCTCCGGAGAAGTTACGTCCATCAAGGACACAGCCCATACGTTCTGCCTTTCTTCAGCACCAGGGGCATCATGACCCGTCATGTGAACTGAATCAGAAGTCTCTAACCCTCCAGTTAAAGGTGGGGAGAGGATCTCAGCCCCTGGAGCAACTCATTCAGCTGTGTTCCTTTAGCCTCCCTTTCACTGTTGTTGATTCCAACTTGTACTGACCCTGAGGGACAGAGCAGACCTGCACCGTTAGTGTCCAAAGCTATCAGTTCATTACGGATAGCTCCCTCTCTCTCCTACAGTGTGTCTAGTGGCTTGAACCGCCAACCTTTTGGTTAGCAGACCAATGCTTAACCCACTGTGCTACCAGTGCTCCTTCATCTGTCCTCAGCACTTGTTTCTTTCTACCTACCTACTTCCCCTGCTTCTGCCCCGGTGGGAGAGCACCTTAGTGCAGAGGCCTTCACTGTCTTCCTCACATCTCTCTGGCTGTCAATCGTCAGGCCCTTGCTCCTGTATTTTTTTTATCTGAAATTAATTGCTCCTCTTTTCCGAGACCGCCCCCTCTTCTGCCAAGTAAATCCAGTCAAGCTGTTAACTAGGCTTCAGTGAGGTCTTTACAGCTTCCAGCGAATCCACCCGAGACCTTCCCCACATCACACACGACCAGGTCCTTCCAGTGGGTCTCAGTGTAGCCGTCGTGCTGAATGAAGGGCGCAGGGGCTAAATTTGCTTGAGCCTATGGAATCCTGGTGTGGCACTGTGGATTAATGCGCCAGACAGCAAAGCTGTTTGAACTGCAAGGTCGGCGGTTCAAGCTCACCAGCTGCTCCTCAGAAACCCTATACAGGGTCGCTATGGGTCGGGATCGACTCAACGGCACTTAATAACAACAATGTTTTCCCAAGACATTTCAATGAGTGCTTCCTGGAAATTGTGTCTTGAGTTGCAGATGAACGAAAACTGCTGCTATCAAGTTAATGCCAACCCATAGCGACCCGATAGAACAGAGTGAGTGAACCACTCCATAGGGGTTCTGATACTTTATTGAAGCAGGCTGCCTCGTCTTTCTCCAACAGAGTGACTGGTGGATGCGAACCACCAACCTATCGGTTAGCACCCCCATGTGCTTACGCTTTGCGCCACCAGACCTCCTTTGAGTTGCGACGGAAGCAGAGTTGGGGTGCGTACCTACTGTGCATTGCTGCAGAAGCCAGGCCTACCTTGGCCTGTTGCTTTTAAAGTGATAGCCAAGAAAACCCCAGGGAGCACCTTGCTACTCTGTTACACATGGGGTCCCCAAAAGTCGTATTGCAGTAGGTTTGCTTTTGTTTTCTTTTTCTTTTGGTTTGTGGATTAGTTCATTACTAAGTTGGAACAACAAACATCCATGGGCTGTTTCCCCCGCACACGCAGGTCCCACACGTCCTTTAGATTGCCCCACACTACCACTTCTCCGATTCCAGTAGCTCAGTGTACCATCCCACTGGGGGACCCTGCCCGAGCTGATTCTTCTGTTTCTGCTCACTTCTCCCTCATCCACATGGTAGATTGGCTGCCGGTATCTGGCAGGCTTTAGTTACTTGACTTAACACCTGGAGAACTGTCTGGAAGCTTCACTGCTTCCTGCCCATTATAGTCAGAATCACCTCTATTAGAACTCAGTTTGGGTGTGTTGAGACTTTTTATTCATCTGCCTATTTGCCCTGGATTGTGTGTCCTATCCGGCAAAGATTGGTTTTCAAACTCTGAATGTGTGTTCCTAGCAATGGCCAAAAGCAAAATCCAAACCAATTGCTGTCAAGTTGATTCGAGTCACTGCACCCCCGTGTGTGTCAGAGTAGATCTGTGCCCACAGGGTTCTCAGTGGATGATGTTTCATAAGTAGATTCCACTCATGGTGCCCTGTGTTAGAGTAGAACTGTGACCACAGGGTTCTCAGTGGATGATGTTTCATAAGTAGATCCCACTCATGGTGCCCTGTGTGTGTCAGCGTAGAACTATGCTCCACAGGGTTCTCAGTGGATGATTTTTCATAAATAGATCCCACTCATGGTGCCCCATGTGTGTCAAGAGTAGAACTGTGCCCCACAGGGTTCTCAATGGATGATTTTTCATAAGTAGATCCCACTCATGGTGCCCTGGGTGTGTCACAGTAGAACTGTGCCCCACAGGGTTCTCATTGGATTATTTTTCATAAGTAGATCCCACTCATGGTGCCCCATGTGAGTCAGAGTAGAACTGTGCTCCACAGTGTTCTCAGTGGATGGTTTTTCATAAGTAGATCCCACTCATGGTGCCCCGGGTGTGTCAGAGTAGAACTGTGCCCCACAGGGTTCTCATTGGATGATTTTTCATATGTAGATCCCACTCATGGTGCCCCGTGTGAGTCAGAGTTGAACTGTGCTCCACAGGGTTCTCAGTGGATGACTTTTCATATGTAGATCCCACTCATGGTGCCCCATGTGAGTCAGAGTTGAACTGTGCTCCACAGGGTTCTCAGTGGATGACTTTTCATATGTAGATCCCACTCATGGTGCCCTGTGTGTGTCAACATAGAACTGTGCCCAGAAGATTGTCAGTAAATGGTTCACCAGCCCCTTCTTACCAGGAACTTCTGGGTAGGCTGAAACCACCAATCTTTCGTGTTAACTATTAGTTAGTGGCATCCAGTGGAGGGACTCCCCTAGCTATGAGTATGTGTGTCCAGCCTCTCTTATATATCTGTCTTTCTGCATGTGTTTGCTATGTTCATACTGTCTCCAGCCTGGGTTAGTCTCTCAGTCCATGTTTAACCTCAGTTTATGATGTTTTATTCCACCTCATTCACCAACAAAAGAAAACTAGCTGGTACTGTTTTAGACAGAGTAACTGTTGTTTTCAGAGTGCATACACAGGTAATGTTCAAAGCCTGCTGTAAATTGCATGCTTTTACTGACTGCATTTGTTGTATGTGAATTACTTGTAAGAGCGCTACTGCCCCCTGCTGGGGAGTTGTGTTACCTACTGCTATGCCCACTCCATGGCGCCATGGAGTGCATCTGACTTGCAGCAATCCTACATAGGGTTCCCAAGACTGTAAATATTGAGAGGAACAGAAGGCTGCCTCTCTCCCTTGGAGCTGCTGGTGGGTCTGAACGGATTAGCCATCCAGTGCCGTTTTTGTTCTTGTTGACAATATACACAGCAGAACAGACACCAATAGGACCATTTCGACATGTGCTATTCAGTGACATTAGTGACATTCTTCAAGTTGTGTGATCTTTCTACCCTGTTTTGCCAATTGGCCCATGGACGTGAGCTCACCGTCCTACGTTTTCTCTCAGCTTACCTGTGGGACCCAGACCTTTCTTCTCTTGACCTCCCTCGGCTCTCTTTCAGAACGAGGTCAACGCAATCAAGTGGGACCCTTCGGGGCTGTTGCTCGCTTCCTGTTCCGATGACATGACGTTAAAGGTAACATCGTTAGAGAGGACAGCCACATCCACTGCTCCTTTGGGTTATTAATCTCTTCCTCTATAATTTGTTTATATTATGAACTCGGTTATTGGAGCCCTTAAGTGGTGGAAATGGTGACGGTGACAAGTTAGGGTTCAGTCCACCCAGAGCACCTCAGAAGAAAGGCTTGGCTGTCTGTTTCAAGATCACAGCCATGACCCTGTAGAGAACACTGTCCTCTGGCACACATGTGTTGCTGTGAGTTAGTCAGCTCACTATACCACCAGAAGGACAAGAGACTGTGATTATTTATTAGCTGATTAACTCCTATTTGTCCACCCTGTGTGCCACCTGTGGGGGGATAGTGCCCACCCAGTCCTGACTAACAATCACTGTGCCCAGATGGGGAGATAATGCTGCCCCGTCATGACTGGGGAGTCCCTGTGTGCCCAGATTGGGGGGTCGTGGAAATAGTGCTATCCCATCCTGATTGGGGAGCCCCTTTGTGCCCTGGTGGGGGATAGTACTGCCCCATCCTGACCAGGGAGCCCCGTGTGCCCAGATTGGGGGGGAGTGCTGCCCCATCCTGACTGGGGAGCCCCTGTGTGCCCAGATTGGGGGGGAGTGCTGCCCTGTCCTGACCAGGGAGCCCCGTGTGCCCAGATTGGGGAGGGTAGTGCTGCGCCATCCTGACCGGGGACTCCCAGTGTGCTCAGAGGACTCTCAATTTGTCTCCCTAGATCTGGAGTATGAAGCAGGACACATGTGTCCACGACCTACAGGCTCATAGCAAAGAGATCTACACCATCAAGTGGAGCCCCACTGGGCCAGCCACCAGCAACCCCAACTCCAACATCATGCTCGCAAGGTAGGGTAGACAGCAGTGACTAGGTGTGGATACTCAGTGTGGCCCGGTAGTGCCCTGTCCACCCCTGACCCGACATCATGCTCACAAATAAGGTAGACAGCAGTGACTAGATGTGGCTTCTTAGTGTGTCCCGATAGTGCCCTGTCCACCCCTGACCCGACATCATGCTCACAAATAAGGTAGACAGCAGTGACTAGATGTGGCTTCTTAGTGTGTCCCGATAGTGTCCTGTCTACCCCTTCCCCGACATCATGCTCACGAATAGGGTAGACAGCCGCAGTGAGTGTCCACTGCTCAGCGTGATCTTACTTGGGGTGTTGAGGTAGCACCTGGCCACCAAAGCCACTCACAGTTAGAGCTGTGTGCACAGATGGCGTGGGCAGGTTGTTTAATCCATGCCCAGATGAGTGACGCTTCGGCTGACTCTGAAGGGACTCCAGAAGGCAGCCCACTTGAGAGAGAGATAGGTTTAGCCTCGAAGCTGGTAGCAGGTACTTGTATGTCCCAGTTTTGAACACCTTTCTTTGCTGGCAGCTTCTATTAAATGAAGCAGGGAGTTTGGCTAAGAGGGTTAGTCTTCGTGGATGTTATTGTTGTAAAGCGTCATCAAGTCAGTTCTGACCAATAGCAAACCCTGTATAGAGTTTTCCAAAGAGCAGCTGGTGAGTTCCAACAGCTGACCTTCCAGTTCAAAGCGACTTTGTAGTCCTGTGCATGAACCCACAGCACCACACCAGGATCTACCTGAAGAACACTGTTGTTGCAAAGTTATATAATTAACAGCATTTCTGGTCCACATTCGTCTCCGGTTCGATCAAGGCCCATCTGTTGGCTCTCTGATGGACTGCGTCCTTCTGTGTGCATGTGTAAGAGGAACCTATGGGGTATAGTGCATCCCCATCGAGAGCTGGAATGGCAGAGAACAGCTGTATGATCTTTTAAATAGCAAAGCTAAAATGTGCACCTCAAAGCAGTGTGATTATAGATTTACATGCGATTATATTTGAATTCCTGTTGGATTGGCATTTTAGTCCGTTTGTGATTTTTCTCAATAAGGCTGTCTGCGTTCGTTTCATGCGTCATAAGAGATTTTGTATTTTAAGTTGTGGAAGTATCTTTGAAAACGTAACAAATATTCTACAAAAGTATTTGTCCTTTGTGTCTCCAGAAAACTCAACTGGAATGTAGATTTCATTTGGTTTACCTAGTAGGATCCAGCCCAAGGAGCTCTGGTAGCGTAGTGGTTATGAATCAGTCTGCTAACCTTAAGATCAGCAGTTTGAAACTACCAGCCCTTCCGCAGGAGAAAGAGGAGGCTTTCTGCCCCCCGTAAAGATTTACAGCCTTGGAAACCCTGTACAGGGTCGCTATGAGTCAGAAACGAGTCCACGGCACATAACCAATACCATCCCAGCCCAAATAGTGGTGTCTACGTTGGTTTTGGAGTACTAGTGTGGCACTGTGGGTTAATGCGCTGGACTGCAAAGACGTTTGAACTGTAAGGCTGGTGGTTCAAGCTCACCAGCTGCTCCTCAGAAACCTTATACAGGGTCACTATGGGTTGGAGTCGACTTGACAGCATTTAACAAAAACAACGTGTTGCTTTTATGCATCTCAAGGTTGTGCAGTTAACACACTCAGCTGCAGCACTCAGGTTGCAGGTTCTACTCCACCCAGAGGAACCTCAGAAGAAAGACCTGGAGCTCCACTTCCAAACAAGGGTCTCCTAGAGAAGCCTGTGGAACCCAGGTCTGCTCTGACACCCGTGGCGTCATATGATTCATTTGGCTCCACTGCAGCTGGTTCGCTGGTTTGTTTTATAACCATGTCCTTGTTTCCCAAACATCTCACTGGCTTGCTCTAGAAGAGACAACATTCCCCTGTTGATGGTTACTCCCAGCTTGAAAACTAGGGAAGAAAGACAGCTCATAAAAACAGAAACCCAGCTGTATGTCCCTGTGGTCACAGTGTCTCCACTGTTTTACCAGTGCTTCGTTTGATTCTACGGTTCGGCTGTGGGATGTGGATCGAGGTGTCTGCATCCACACACTCACGAAACATCAGGAGCCTGTCTACAGTGTAGCTTTCAGCCCTGATGGGAAATACTTGGCCAGCGGCTCCTTCGACAAGTGCGTGCACATCTGGAATACTCAGGTAATTCCCTGGCCCCCGTGAGGACAGCTTCTGCTCTCAATGACCTGAGCTCAGAACAGGCCCCCTCATGCACTCAGTGAGCTGCCCACATGCTCACATGCTCCGAGCACACTGATTCCACAGGTAGACCTAGCCCCCCGTGCCATCTTCCCTCAGCTGCACATATGCCACAGAGGGCACCGAGAGCAGCTCCCCACCCCCAGGAAAGGGTTCCATTTTGGGTCTCCCTGGGGTGGTTGGCCATTAAACTTAACAGTTTTAGATCGTTGTTATAATAATGAAGCTCCGAGTTCGGCATCTTAGAGTCTCTTCTTCCTTGAAGGGTTCCTCATCTCACTTTTTTCTGAGCCCTTGGCACAGCATCGTTAACCTGTATCATTTTCTTCTTGTGTCTGAACAGTCACCTCAGAAAAACATTACCTCATTACTATGAAAGAAGCAGTCCTGTAGGGTTGGGAGGGGAGGAGACTGGCTGCCCCTCCATCAAGATATCCAGGGTGGTGAAGCCAACCTGGACCCTTTCTACACTATTCAGACTGGAGGCAGACCACACCCAAAGGAATGTATCTTTTCAACTGATTGGTTGATTATATTCCATTGGGTTACATTATGAAGGGATGGTTTCATTGTAGAAGGTGCTTTATGACTTTATGGAAGGTGATTTCATTACACTATAGTCCACTACAGAACAGCAGTGAGTCTAGTGTTTGGCCAGATGATCGAGCTGACCTGTAACAGTTACATTCACAGAAGAAAGAGCTTAGGTGAAGAATGCTTCAGCAAGGCAGATGGGGGGTCTTTGGCCCGGACCACCCGTGGTCTCCGTGGGAACGTGGTAGTGGACTCAGTGGGCAGCAGCAGGTCAGCCTTGCTCCCTACAGTACAGGTGTTAAGCTGTACCGTCCCACGGCCACCACAGGTGTTCCCCGGTCGTTCCTCCATGTGTTGAATGCTGTCCTGGTAAAAGACAAGGGTGCCTGCCTACCCTAGAAGTGTTCAGAGTTCCTGCTTGTGCTGTGAGCTGCTCTTGTTTGTCCTTTCAGAGTGGAAGCCTTGTGCACAGCTATCGAGGCACCGGCGGTATCTTTGAGGTTTGCTGGAATGCACGTGGCGACAAAGTGGGTGCCAGCGCGTCGGACGGCTCTGTAAGCAACTTGGCGGGATTTGGGGACCAGTGTGGGCAAAGGGGTTGGGTGGCATTGGCAGCACCCTAGAGGGACTGAAGAGCCAGGCTTTCAGGAGGCTTAGCACACAAGACACTTACGAGAGCTCATGGAGCAAAGAAAACTTCTCAGCTGAGTCCCATTGGTGTTGGCCCAACATCTAGGATGGCCAGTTCTTCATTGTTTCTAGAATGCTATTCTACTCACTATTTTTGTCATTAAACGAGTGGTTCTAAACCCTAAAGGGGACATTCCCATTCCCCAATGTGTAGAAACGTTATGGGTTATCACAAGTTGGGAAGGTAGGAGCTATTGGCATTTAGTGGTTGGAGACCAGGGATGCTGCCCCACACCCTACAGTGCACAGGAATGGGGTCCACACCACAGAGAATGACCAGTGGGTGGAGACCAGGGGTGCTGCCCCACACCCTACAGTACACAGGATGGTCCCACCATAGAGAGTGACCAGTGGGAGGAGACCAGGGATGCTGCCCCACACCCTACAGTGTACAGGACGGTCCCCACCACAGAGAGTGACCAGTGGGTGGAGACCAGGGATGCTGCCCCACACCCTACAGTGCAC